GGATATTTAATACAGAAGGATATCAAATCACTCTTTTTTTTTTGCCTGATCGAAACTCTCACCAGAACCTAAAATTGTCGAAAATAAAAAATATAATTTCCCTGTGCTTGGGAAACCAGTGAAGAAATTTAAATAAACATGATGATAATGATGCTTTGAAAAGAGTGGGAAATATGGTGGTTAAGGGGTTGGAATAATTAGTAATTTATGGCCGCATGACTTTAGGTAAATTAAGAGCCTGTTCGTTTTTTTTATTTTTAAAAATAAAAAAATTTAAAATTTTATTTGAATAAATGTTTTTTATTTATTTATTTTCAAAATCTATTTTCATTTTTTTAAAAAATAAAAATATAAAAATGACTTTAAATTGTTTTTGTTTTATTTTTGTTGTTTTTGAAATACAATAAACTTGATTATTAAAAATTATAGTTATCTTGATCAATTTTTATTATTAATTACTGTCATTAACTGTCTATAATCATTACTATCAATCTATTTTTTATTTTAAAATTTTTTTAATTGATATAATCAAACAAATTTTTATTTTATTTTATTTTATTTTTAAAAACTTTATTATAATACAAATTTTAAAAATAAAAAATGAGAATATAAACCAAACAGACCCTAAGCTAAGCATTGATTCTATTAGAAAAAATACAACTTTTAATCCTTATAGTTTAACATGTAATTTTTTCACAATTCCAAGCCTCTCTAATTTATCTTGCATTTTATATTAACCTCTCTACTATTGAATATGCTCGAAAGGATGATGAGCTAGTAGTAATAATTTTAAAGAATTTTGACCTATCACTAATGTCATTGATATAGAAGGGGAAAACAAGTATCTAAATTTGACTCCAATTGACCCCACTTACTTGAATTCTGGAATACATTGTAGGACATCATCCTTTCAAGTGTTAGTGACTTATTAAAATATTTAACATTGTTAGCAACACCTCATCGTCTTTTTGGATATATTCAAAAGTAAATAGGCTAATGTTGCAAATAGGATAAACTAAAGAAACCTTAAATAACCAAAAAAAAAAAACTACAAGAATTGATATTAAAGCACGTTAAAATTATAGGATAAAAAATTGTGTTATCCTATTCTGTTAAAACTATCTAATGAATCTGGCTGTTCATGGCATTAATCATGCAAGTTATAACATCGTTTAAGACATCAGAAATCTTTTGACGCACAATTGAGAGGCTTCTTATAAACATGCATGCAGAGAAGCTAATATATGTATCAAATTCCATTGCTCACTTCGTTCAAAACATTGACACAAGGGCTATATAGTTTTGGCAGAGCCTCTTCGTGAGTGTAGACACTTATTTTCTTTAGATATTGTTGGCCTTCATTAAGACTCTGGCTTTTCCATTTAAAAAAAAAAAAACATCAGAAGATTCTTCAATCTTATTATATGTAGGTCAACATGATGGTTTGGTCATTGAAATATCATGTAATATTATTTAGCAGAATTTGACATTAAAGTCCGTTGATTGAATATGTGCTCGTGTTCTTTAGACAAAAAATGTCTAATGATGATTGGGATAATTTTGTTTGTATTTTTAATTAACATTTCGAAAATATTGAAAAATAATTATTACTTCAATCATGTAACTTGTCCCGGCCTCCCAGCAAATTGGGAGGACACAATAGTTAATGCAATTTTTTAAGTTTTTTAATAAGTCATTTATTTCACTGAACTATTTCTCATTTTAGTAGATAATTCTAAATCTAAACATTAACTCAATTCTACTTGTTGAATAATAAAGGGTAAAAGTGCATTTTACTTTCTAAATTATAAATTGAATAACATCACAATTTCAGAAATATTAAACTTATTTGTTGTGCATTTTATTCTCCTAACTTCTAAAATTGTAGCAATTATACCTCACTGTTAAACAAACGTTGGTTACCAATATGGTGGGGTCCACACGTTTAGTCAAACTATCTTCACCTTCTACTTCTTTTTGTTTCGTTCTCCGCCAATATCTCATCTCTCATACTCCCTCGTGCATTCAAATCATTGCCCCTTTTTTACTTTACATTCAAAAATTATAAGAGAGAGAGGTTTAATCATCTCATAACACACACACACACACACACATTCCGTTTTTTAACAGATTGAGTCTTTTCTAAATATGTGATCAGGATCACTCGGAGATACTATAAATCAATGGTTCCCAGGTTCGTTGTCCTCCATCATCATCTTCTTTGAGTTCAACCCATAATTCTTGTTATGAAAATCAACAAAGAGAAACAAAAAGTGAAGCACAGAAAACAACATTGAAACTCAATCTACGACCTCGGGCCAACTTGACCTATAAAAATGGTGACCACGGCATAAGGCTTAAAATGACGAAGCTAGAGTATAACTAAATGATTTGGCAACCATCATGAGCTTCTTCCATGTGGGACGGACCCCAAGTGCACACGATAAGTAATAGGCAAACATTAGCACGTGAACAGAGCGTTGGTCGTGAGCACCAATGGGAACAATGACTGAGATGTCTTGAACCAAACGTAGCACATGATGGCCACGGTGGAGTGGTGGTGCATGTGGAGGAACATAAGGTGCTGGATAGAGCTTGACAAGATAATCAGGAGAGTGTCCATGAATTCTAGAATCTTCAAGAGGAAAAAGACGTAGTCCCATAAGAAGAAGACAGCACCAGAGGGAGGGGTGTTTGGCGGGAAGCAGATGATCTAGTAGAAGTGAGGTGCATTGGATATCGTGGACAAGAGGCAACTGAAGACCATGATGAAGGAGAGGACGAGGAGGAAGGTGTTAGAGACTACAGTGATAGCTTTGAGAATCACTGAAGGAATCGAAGGGGGAGAGAGATGAGAGAGGAAGAAGGTGAAACAGAGGTGAGAGAGCGGAGATATGGGCCAGGAAGCAAGCAAAGGAGAGAAGGAAGATGATTTGACTAAACCTATGGGCCTCACCATATTAGCAACGGACTTCTGTTTCAATTTAACGTTAGGGGTCAGATTGCTATGACTCTAACAGTTGAGAAAACAAAATGTATGAGTTTAGAATCGTGGTGCTATTCAACCTATAGGTTAAAGAGTAAATTGCTCAATTATTTAATAACAAATATACTAAAATCCTCCTCATGATCGTGATATGTTGATTGAAATGGAAAAGAAGTTACAAGTGTGGGAAGCAAAACTGCATGAGCGTGATTATGCAGCAGCAATGGTGTATTCTTGATTTAGCAGAACGACCATCAAGCCAACACATCTATCATGTTATATAATTTTCAAAAAGTTGTTTGAAGCAGATCCTCTAGAGAAAGCTTTAGGTGTTATATTCCTGCCTGTCTGGTAATGACCCACGTGTCCAAGGAAGACAAATCACATTTACATCCCAAGACCAATAAATACTGCATCCACTGATCTACATGCATATATAAAATAAAAGTATCTTTTCTTTTGTAAAATACAATCTTTGTTACAACAGTAACTTTTTTTTAAGTGAAACGTAAGTGACATTGAAATGACAATTAATTGATGGCCGCTATATTTTAAAAAAAAATTTATAACCTTTTTTAAATTTATAAATAAGTAGTCAGAGTAAAATTTATTTTTAATGATAGTATTGTATTTTTTATTTTTTATATTCATATATTTTGTTGTCAAAAATTTTTAATTTTATTTATTTTAAAGATGCTGAAAAATAATTTTGCTCACTTCTTAGTATGCAATTTTTCTCCCTCTCTCAAATTCAAATTCCTTTCATGTTTTCCAAATCTTTCTATAAATAATATAATTTCAATAAAATACTTTTGTCATGATAAATATAAATGCTAACAAATAAAATAACGTGTTTCCTGTGCATCGCACAGAGGCTATAATCTAGTTTTGGTTGATAATTTAATATTTAAAGGTTAAAATGCATAAATTTTTTTTTAAATTTTGAGACAGTTGTATAGATCTTCCATCATCTTTAAAAGTTTAAAATTAATCTATCTAACTTTTAATTTTATTTTTCAAAACTTCCTATTATTAATTATATTATTTTTTATGAAGATTAAAATATCATTCAACTAAAAAATGTTATTAAATAAAAATATTATATAAATAATTATTTATAATAAATTCATTATATTTTTTAGATAGTTGAGGCATTCATAACAAAAAATATACATTATTATCACTGTATAAAATTTTTAATATTTATGTTTATATTAGTTTTATCTATGTTTTTTTGTTAACAATGCTACATAATTTTATTATTTTTTGTTAACATTAAAATAATAAAATCATGCACCATTAATAACAAAAATACATAGATAAAACTAATATAAACATAAATATTTAAAATTTTATACAATGATAATGATATTTTTTTTTGTTATTAATGACTCAACCATTCAAAAAATATAAAAAAATTTATTATAAATAGTTATACAATATAATATTTTTGTTTAATAATATTTTTTAGTTGAATGATAATTTAACCCTCTTAAAAAAATAACATGATTAACAATAAAAAGTTTTGAAAAACAAAAATAAAGATTAAGAAAGTTATATATAACTGTCTTAAAGTTTAAGATAATTTTATACGTTTAAGCTTATTTATTTTTAGATGAAACGCTCAATTAAATAAATGTAAATATAAAAAAATAAAAATAATTTAAAAATAAATAATTACTAATTTAAAAATCAAGATTCAATTAAAAATATTTTTTATTTTTTAATAAATGAGTATTATCTTTTATATATATTTACGCATCAAAACCGAAATGAATCGCTTTATCGAGCTACAACAACTTGGCGGACAACTATCTCCACCCTGTCATTCAAATCTATGAATCCCACTTTGGAACCCCTACTGCTTTTTCCTCAATTTATTAATTCATTAATTCCTATTATTGAGAGGCCTTGTGTATTCCAACTTAGTTCTTTCATTTTTATTCTAACTTTTTGAAATATAAAGCTCATCAAATTTAATGATAAGATTTAAAGTAGTGTTGGCCGCTGGCGATGACTGAAAACATGGACGAAACTTGAAATATCTGTCACAAATTCCTGTTCAACAAGATTAAAAAGGACATAACCCTTAAACAAGGAGGGCAAGAAAATTGCCCTTTATTCGTTAGATTAATTCTAATACAATTTATCGACAAAATTATTTTTGCTGATGACGATAAAATTAACAAGGTCTCTGTCCTTTTAGGTGCTCCCGCCAGGGTAAATGCAACCATTATAACCTGCAAAGAAGGTAGGAAATTATTGATTTAAGTAATTAAAAAAGTAACTAAATGAGACATCATTCCTCTTGACTTGAGAGTAGTTTCATCTTGATTTAAAATATTTTATTTTTTAAATTCTAAAAGGAAAAACATAAAATGTCCACGTCTTTTGAATGGCAAGTTTGAAAACTGAAGGGCAGCACATTTGAGGAGGATAACATCATATTTTTCTCTGCAAATTATCTCTGTAATTGAATAATTAATCAGTCTGGTTTTCCCCCCCCCCCCAAGGTAACACAATCTTGAATTGGGCAATGCATTTAGAATTTCAACACCAGACAACTCACTGCTCCAGTTTCCTTTGTTTCTATCCCTCAGTAGATTCTAATGAAGTGACGTAATTGTGGATGACAATGTAAAATCACTCAAATACAGAGAGTTAGCTCAGTTAATGCAAAGAAAAATGAATTGAGAGGGACAAAACTCACTTGGATTTTGGGAAGTGAGAGTAGCAGATTGAGAGAAATCACAGTTCCAGGGGTTTCTGCCAAACTTTTGGTAGTAGAGGTTCATGGCATAGGCAGCATGAGATGCTAATGTGTTTGGATCGAAACAAGCACCTCCTGGCTGAATTGCTCCACAATCTATGCCTTGGCTGCATGCATAGTCAAGGTTCGCCTGCAACTGAGAATCGGATACGCTGGCCTTCGGAACGCACCACCCTACGGCAGGTTTTGGTGTTGATGGAGCCTATTAACACAAACAAGTACGTTGCACTTTAATCCAGATCCACGTAAGACTTTAATATATCTTTGATCATGATTCTTCTTGGGAATCAAATGTGTGTTATTGTTAATATAGAAAAAGCCTCACCTGTTGGCTAGACTTGGCCAAGCCAACATCATAAGACTGGGAAAGATCAGTTTTGAAGAGGCCAAAAGCACGTTCAGAAGCAGGACCAGCTTTCAAGTCCTCGTCATACAGGGCAAAAATATAAGTGTCCACAGACTTGCCAGGCATGAGAGGGGTGCCAACCAAGGAACGAAGGTGAGCGATGAGGTTTCCATTATACGCTTTGGCATTTTCAACACTGGGTCCCACTTCACTGGGATCCCCACTCGAGGGCCATCCTGTCTCTGCCACCACTATCTCCACGTCCTCATATCCCATGGCTCCCAAAGCTGAATGAACTGCATCCACCTGCTCCAAATAGTATTGTTCAGACTCAACAAAAACAAAAAGGTATTCAAAACTACCACAATTGTCACTAATTAAATTTACCACTTACCAGCTTCAATTAGTTTGCTAGACCTTCGAGTTAAGCTTTTTCTTGTTTATTTTGATTTGACCTTCTAAGATAGTCTCGTGCATGCCTAAGACCCAACTAGTTCTTTAGCCAAGGATGAGAAATAATCCTTGTGCTCTTATTTAGGGGAAAAGAGGATTGTTAAACATTAATATGACAGGGACGTAATACATTATAAAGTAAAAAAGTCTGTTTTGTTATATCATATCAAACAGATCCTTCACTTCACCCACACATTTGAGTAAAAAGGACAAGGATTTATCGTAGTGATTCGCTAGCGTTCAACAATTCTTGAAATTTTGCAAGGATTTGGGGATAGTCAGCCTGTCACCCATGGATTGGTAATGTCAGATGAAATTGTTGGCTTACATAATGTGTTTGGATGGGATTTTAGTGCTTAAGACAAAAGATAAGGTCAAATTTTTGGTACAGAGGAAGTCTTGGTAAAATTATACTTTTAATGGGGCGTCATTATTTCATGGTAGCTTTTTCCTTCTAAGACAAATCAGCAAGTCAACAAAACACATCATATGTTACAATACAACTATATTTAATGATTCATAGAGTTGTTAATCACTTGGAAACTGCCTAGAACTCACGTAAGCATATGTAGAAGTAATATGCAACGAAATTTCGAGTTGGAAGTAATGGATTGGAAACGTTTCTAACATCCACTGGATTGTTAGAGTAGAGCCTTCTAGGGCACGAATCGTCAAGGAAAGTTAACAGCTTATACACGTCAGCTTTACATATTCTTCTGAAAATATATAGTATATTACAGTTACGCTTCATTCTCACCTCTAACAAATTAATTGTCAATTTAATTATAAGAAAATTCTCTCTTTTTTTTTAATTCAGTATTTACCCATTTTTTAAAAGCAATGAATTCTAAAAAATACTTTAAATATTACATTAAATTCTAATATAAAATATTAAATATAATTTTACCAAGTAGTATCTGTAATTTACTCTGCTTATTTTTTTTCAGAAAAAAAATATTTTAAAAGAAGGGGTATTTCTGACCTGTGCATCGAACATGTTGGTGTAAAGCAAGCCGTTGCTCCGATCGGTCCGACCCGAGTTTGGTTGGAACAGGCAGAATGCCAATGTTTCGGGTCCTGGGTTGCTCTGGTACGCGAAGTATGGGTACGGGTTGATCATCAACGGCGATTTGTTATCCTTCAGGAACGCCAGCATCGGCTTCAGCGCGCCCTGCAGTGTTGGGTTGAACAATCCGGACGATGGAGGATCCGACTGTGTCAGCACGGCCATGGAATGTACGGTGGAGACTTTGACTTTACCGCCCAGTGAGGCCGAGCTGAGGGCACTCTGGACATTTCGCATTGCCGGAACAAGCTGCGAGATCAGGTTCTGGTCGCCTGAGGTCATCACCTCGTTCCCGACGGAGATGATGGTGATGTTGGTGGCTGGGTAGTAAGGACGCACATTTGCATTGATCCATTGGGTGGCCGCGGCAGCACCGGAGGCGAGACTCGGAATTTCGCCGTTGGCGGCGGCGATCACGACGCCGATGCCGGAGTTTGCGAGGGCTCTGAGGATCACCGGATCAGCACCGTAAAGCCGGACTTTTGCGATGGTGGTGGACTGCAGGAGCTTGACCGTCGCCTCCGGCGGGGGAAGATTGTCGGCGGCCTGGCCGTAATTCACGCCGACGAAGGATTGCGACTCTGTAAGACGGGAAAACAGAGAGAAGGACCCATGAAATAGAATCGATTTCAACATGGAAAATTGAAGAGAAACGAAGCCGTTTATGAAAGTTGAAACAATTAAAGCATAAGGTTGTGCTTTTTCTCAGTTGCACAGGCTACTTCTAAATTTCAATATTGGATTCCGATCACGTTGTCAGAAATCAGTTCAAAATCCACAATTCACAAGAAATGGAGCTGTTTCCTTAGTGTATGAGAGGTAAACTTGAACAAAAACACGCAGTTGTTGCTAGTTTCAAAAGTTAGAAAAGACCAGCAAATTCAATTTTCATTTGCAAAGCGAAAAGGCTCAAACAAACTTTTAATTATCTTTCCCTAGAAAATTCACAAAGACGGATCCTACAAAGTACTAACATTAGTAGCTTTACAGGTATTCTTAACTTGGCCGAAAACCAATGAAAGCCCAAAAAAGTGATGAGAGAGGGAAATGAAGAACTGACCAGCAAAGGAAAGAGCGAATAGGATGATAAGGGAAAGGCAGAGGAAGACGGAAGATGGAGAAGGAGAAGAAGCCATGGCTGGCTTGAAGTAAATTTGGAAAGTATTGTAGCAGCAAGTCGTTAGAGTTCAAACTTGGAAGTAGATGTGGATTTATAAGGGAAATGTGAAAGCTAAGAAAACAAGGTGGAAGGAAAATAAAAGAGGGATGAGTCGGATGGCGTGAGGAAGGTGGAAAATAGAATAATAGGCAACGGTAGAAAGACTTTGTGAATGAGTGAGACCGTGGAATTGAGTGAAAATAACTTCCAGCTTAGCTGGATTCCTGTCACGGAGTCATGAAATGCCGTATGGGCCCTCTTTCCTCAAATCATACCTCTATACCCATCCAATTCATCAAATTCAAGCAAAATCTAGCCCAAAAAAAAAACAAAAAGAAAAAGAAAAACACTAGCTAGTGGAGTGGAGAAGATTGGACTGTAATGCTAACAGCTGATCCAACAACCAATCAATAAGTTTCTTAAGTTAACCTGAGGAGTTAGTACAAGGATAACAATCAATCAGCCAACTTCTACAACAAAGGTTTTTGGCCCAAAAAAAAAAACTTCTACAACAAAGGGAGTAATTGAATGATCCAGTGTGATAAGAACACTACAATTAACTGGGATTGAATGAATAAATTCTTCAATTTTGGGAGTGAGAGTTAAATGTTTCTCCAATCCCATGTGATACCGAGGCAGAAGCAGAAGCCACTTTATTCCTCTTCTTTTTCGGTGCTGGAAAAGGGGTTCAGCTACATAAAAGCAAACCAGCACGCCATGACTTTCATGCATACATAATTGGGTTTATTTTGTCATTTTTGAAACCCCCTAAACAAGGCAGATCCTATATTTAAACTGTACACTCAAACCCAACCACAAGCCGTTTTTCTTACTCCACCTTTTTATTCTTCCCTATTTTCTACTTGTAAATTGTCCGGATTAAGTCTCACCTCTCAACCATCGAACTTACCTTTAAAAGAGCACAATTGAAATATTTAATAATGGGTAATACCACTTTACACACGATCATTAGGATGAGTGATGATAGACTCGAGTAAAAGAAGTGATCATGAATTCATCCCGGCCTATATGTGAATAAAAGAATATGTGAAGGAGCTTAATCATAAAATAGATAACCCCTCAAATTTTTTTAAATTTCACTGCAAGACTCGATATTGAATTGAAGTTAAATTCACAATAAAAATGATAAAATTGTCTTCATTTAAATAAACGACATATCATAGGTAAGATAACTTGTTGATTTCTATACTATATATTATTTATTTACTTACGGAATGTTGTTCATTTTTTTACTTCACTTATTTAGAGCTCTTGAAATGAAATCAAATGACAGTCGAATTATAAACAAATGAAGTAAAAAAATGAATAACATTCCGTAAGTGAATAAACAATATATAATATGAAAATGAACAAGTTAATGAAATTAAGTAAAATCAGGACTATAAACAAGTGACGTTAGATAATTAATAATATTTTATAAGTAAATGAACAATATACAATATAAGAACGAACAAATTGTTTTACCTACAATATGTTATTTATTTAAATAAAGATAATTTTATCATTTTCGTCACAAATTTAATTTCAATTCAGTATCGAGTCTTGCAATAAAATTTCAAAAATTTTAAAACTTTATTTTTTAATATGTTTGATCAAGGATCTCCACCTAAAATTTTTTCCTTATGTAAAGTCCTAGATGAAATCTAGGCAAGTTGGCAGTGAGATGGTTTGTCAATTAAAAAAAAAAAAAATAGAGAGGGGAGAGGGAATAAAATTTTAAGAATATCCTCAAGATTTGAACTCATAGGGACAAATGATCAAACACATTTCATGCATACGCACTGCTGACCAAAAACACATGAATTCCGGAGTCGCACGGAGTTTCATATTTCAGCACGAGCATTACAAGGAGGAAACAAGAACCATAAGAATTCATGAGCTATTCTAAATGTCTTGTGAGAAAATCTTTGAATCCCCCATTTTCACACTGCAAACTGTTGTGTTGCAAGTGACATTACAGTAACTAAACAAGAATTCATTGCAGAAAGTGAATCAGTAAATCTCGGCAATTCTTTGTGTACCCAATTACTTTAAATGATGGCGAAGGTAAGAGTGAAGGCCTCTAGCCCCAGCGACAGTGAACAATCACATGCGAATTAAGTTTCTTCCTACCTCCATAACTCCATTGATTGACATGCTTCATGGGTACACATTAATCATAACCATTACTCCATCTTCATTCGAACATGACTTGACGGGGTCAAGTCAACTCAAAAGTTTTATTGATATTCATGATTAAATAAATTCAAAAATTCTTAAGGCAAAGTCTTATACTCCCTCTGTTAAAAAAATATAAGATATTTTTTGAGAAGTTATATATTTAAAAATATAAGATATTTTTAGTTTTTAAAGTATAATTATTACTTTTTTTTTTCAAAAGTGTCCTTATTGATAATAATTTTATATTTATTGTATAGTATTTAATAGGGATAAATATAAAAAAATAAAATTAGTTGAAAAGTAGATAATTATTTTATTGAGAATAAAATTTGATTAAAAATGCTTTATATTTTTTAACGAAGGGAGTATGAAATAATTTTTTCATATTCATTGGATCATATTGATATATTCTCAACTACTTCAAGAATTTATGCGATTTAAAGCATCGATAGATTACTAATAAGTACAATTAATTAATTACTCTCTCAGGTCCAAACTATAAGCATTTACAAGCAATTTAATGCATGTTAAAAAAATTTCCATTTTATCTCTTATATCTATTAACCTAAATATTTATTTTTTTATAAAAATTAACCTAGATATTTATGTAAATGTATTTCTCATTAATTATAAAATACATTAGTAATTAGGACTAGGGGTAAAAAAACAATATACATTTTTATAAGAATAAAGACTTTATTGATACACAATTTTTTTCCTAAAACTGCTTCTATTTTGAATTGGAGAGAGTATTTATCAAGGTTAATAGTTGATACATCTTTTGTATTCTTAAATTTACTTTTTTTTATGCTAAATTTTCTGTTTTTATTTATAAGTTACTAGTATTTTATTAGAATTAAAAAAATTAAAACTGGTTAAATTTATCTAAAAATTCAATAAGTTTTTAATTTTATCATTGTCAACTATACAAATTTTAATAACATATTTTCTTATATTAATATTTTAAAAATTTAATACAAATCTAATAATAGATTTATAAATAGAATTAAAAAATATTTTTTCTTTGTCCCAGACAGAGAGAGGACAAAATAAATCGAGAACCTGAGCGTACCTGGAGGCTTGAGTGTACAAAAGATGAAAATGAAAAGTTATGACTCTTAACTAGAGTCCAAGTTTGTTGGAGTTCTCTAGGCCCGAAAAGGGGGGGAGGTGTTTTCAGCCCGAGGCTTGATAAGTTTATTAAACTTTGATTATCTCAAATATCATACAAAACATGAAAAAAAAAAAAACGGGAACAAGTTAATATCTTTATTTTGTTTTATATGTATTAGCAAAATAAACTTCTACTTTAAAGTAAGAGTGTTCATGAGATAAGACATGAAAAAAAAAATGAATGAGACTAAACTTTTTGTCTCATGTCTCATTCTATTTCGAAAGTCGAGATATCCCAATTAAAAAAAAAATAAAACATGAAAGAGAAATTTAGATAATAATATTTATTAAATTACATAGCTTGCTAAGTCAAAAACTAAAATAATATAAGTTTAAAAATTTAATCATCAAGTTATAATAACTACAATTTAAAATAAAAGAACACAATCATAACAACCACAACTTAAATTCAAATGTACGATAACTATAAATGACCTCTAAACTACAAATACTATAACAATAACAAAATTATTGAATTATATAACTTAAGTGAGCAAATGATTTTTTAAAAATAACATTAAATAAATAAACAAAAAATATATACTTTGAATCTAATTAAATAAATAAAGCATTAAATATTAATAAAAATAAAAAACATATAATAATATATTTGGGACAAGATATCCCAATAATAATCCCATATTCCATCCTAAACACATTTTTATCTTATCTTGCAAAGTCCCATATTCCAATCCTGTTTTAATTCAGGACAGAACAGACCCATCCCAAATGATAGGAACGAACCAGGTTGATCGAGAAGAAACAAGTACAAACACTCCTACTTCAAAGCTTCCATATATTTATTTCATACTGGTTTTTAATCACATATTTTAACGGATACAAAATATTTTCAATTATAGTCAGTGAATTATTCTATTTAATTATTCACACATCCATATGAATTTTATCATGAAATATATAAAATATTCTTTTCTTTTGTTGCAACAAAAATATAAAATATTCTAACGCAGGATACTTAAGAAGTCCACAAGTTGTACAATTCTATATCAGTCCAGCCCAGAGAAGCTTTCGTCTCTTCCAAGAAAGAAGGCATTAAAATTAAATGCCTCAAATGGCAACACTGCGAGACGGAAAAAAGAGCCTCATGGAACTTGCTTGAGAAGGAATTCATCTGGACGAGCGTCTAGCGATCTTGAGAAGGATTTCAACCATACTCAAAATATGCAAACCCGAGTATAGAATACATGAAAAATACAAAAATAACTCCGTCGACCCTCTTAAAGCTCAAAACCAGCTGCACAATGCACACTGCAACTCCGGAGTTAAAGACACACTAAAGCAGAAGCCAACTCCGCACCCAAAAACTCACAAAAAGAAAATAAAAATCGCCGGGATGTTTCCAATGGATCAATAAGCCAATGGAAAAACCGACCAGGAATGAATAATATTACACCTCTATGTGATTGAAATGAATCAAAGAAAAAAGCCAGATGAAGCCACACAAATAGCAATCCGTTGAACTGGACTAAGATATACAATCTCTGAATCGCCAGTCAAATTAACCTACAGAGTGGGAAGCTGGAGTAGTTTCAAATCGTCCGTCCTTGAACGCATGAATATATTGTTGTGGCAACGAATGCTCCACCTGAAACAGATGGTACGGTTGTAATCCAGTTTTACTCACACAAGTTTTAGCAATTATATTTGACTAACGTTAATGCATCTAGTTAACACTTTTAGAACAGCCATTCATAATTTCATAATCACCAGAACAATGAATTAACTCCATGTCATAATCTTCAACTTTCAAGTTTTAACGGAAAGCAGACCCATTCAAACTACATCATTAACCACCAAAAACTGCCCTCTTGCTAGAGTAAAGATCGTCATTTGATGTTGTTAATATTTATTTACTCCATCCCTTAGCATACAAGATGAAGTTCCCTTTAACTCTTTTAAGAGAGATAATTTTGCAGCAGAAGCTTTGTGCGAAATATTTTTTAGCCATTAAATAAGTCACATGAATAATTGAATTTGTAGATTGTTCTTGCATTAACAAGAAGGAGAGAATTTCACTACCTATTAAAACGCCAGAGCTAAATAATATTGCCACGTGTTGCAGCATTTTCACTAACTAGTAAAAGGCTGGGGCTAATATTCCGGTTAGACAATTGCGTATCTTATTGCTTCCAAAATATGTCATGCCATTCTAGCGTAACAAGAATACAGGGTAACATACGACTTTGATGATTTCAATAAGCGTCTTATTTGTTCCACACCAGCGACCCAAGCTTTTCAATGCTAAAACACAAAATAGACCAAAAGACAAGATATATATAAGAACATACCCAATCGCTATCGGGCTCAGCACCAGGAACCAGCACATTGATCTCACTTGACTTGGCTGTAGATATGGATGCATCTAAAGAATCTTTGCTCAGATAAAGCTGGCAGCCAGAAGTGTTGTCCACCAAAATTGTTGGAGCTGAACCCTACATTAGTTGAAGGAGCCGTAATTGCAACTAAATCCATATTCGATGAACCAAGTTTTAATCATAGAAGAGTAAGCCCTCAAAAACCACGACAATCATAACAAGAGAAAGCAGGAGAGGGTTACCTGACACTGCACCTCAACCCCATTAGAGTTTACTATCTCAAAAGCTGCCACAACATCCTACATTTCAAGCATATAACACAATGAGCTTAAAATGGCCCTAAATATGGATTGCTTTGTATAACTCTAATGTAAAACTCCCAATCAAGCCATTACTTATTGTGTTTCCATACATACCTTGAATACAACTCCCATTTTTGTGCAGTTGTCAATTGTTATATTGTTAACCTTGCCTGCAAATTGTTTAAAAGTCAACAAGTCAGTGGCCTTTTCATCAAGCATCCATAGTTAGGCAGCATAACATTTTAAAAACCATGGAAAGAAATTTGTCACGTATTTCTAAGTACCTTGAATCTGTAAAACAGAATCTTTGCACCCATAAATGTATACAGACTGCCTTGAATCACAATCATCAATGACTAAACCTTTCTGCCCAATTTGGTTCTCAACAACCCACCTGAAATGGAAAAAGAATAGTCAGGATGATGTTGATGGGATACAGACGAATTGAAATCACACACTTGCTTAGACCTACTTGCGACCCATTTGAAGTTCTAATTTTGGAGGTCCTGCTTTAGAAAATGCTTGTGATCTCACACGGGTGTCTTTTTCACTAGCACCAACAATTCCAGTTCTATCTGCACGATTCTTTGCTTTCATATCATCTGTAACCTTTCTCAAACCTAGCAGAAAAATTTTTGGTTCATACATGCCAAAAAAACAATCAGTAACTGAAAAGATGCGAATGCTACCTGCAGTGACATTCCCTGTGTTAATTTGTTGAAAAACAGCTGACATTCCATCCTTTGGCTTGGAGGATGAAGCTTGAGATGATTCAGAACTGAGGAGAGATGCAGGCGGTGGAGGTGGTGGAGCAGGTGCACTCGGTGCAGGAGCTTTGGGTGGAGCAATTGTTTTTCCTGTTGAACTCCATACAGGGCCTAAAGGATAGAAACTCTTGACATAATCTCTCAGACCAGGTAGATATAACTCTTTCAAAGCTTTGGCCCACTCAACATGATTTGGATCTTTATTTCTATATTCTACAAGTACCTAATTATTACCCAAAAACAAAAGCATGACACAACAACCAAAATGAAATGTCTAGGAGGTTAATACAAGAACAGTAAACACGATTCTGCACCTCATGCATTGCCAAATAAATACAATATAATATTTAAAATCAAATACATTAAATCTATGCACCAAAATATGAGCTTACTGACCACCATTTATTTCTGACCACAGCCACTATGCAGATATAAACTGGTGGCTCAAGCAGAGAGTGGACAAATGTATTGGAATTGATAAAATGTTCAGCAGAATATTTGCTAAACATGTAACAAACAAACAAAAGTACCAAAGCCATTTCACTCAAAAGAGAACTCCTATATCGGTTCCTCCTTGGTGTTAACAATCAAAGACCAAACAACCAGCAAGTCATGAAATTTATTTAGTCTCACAAATCAGCAGGCTTCTGGCATGCGAGGAGAATACCTTGTTGCAATAAAACTCAGCCATTTGCCAACTTTCTTCCACATGTGCAATGGGCATACTCATACCTTGAAACAAAAGAAGTTAAATAAGAAACCCGCAGATAAGAATTCCTGATAGAAACAACTGTGCACACTAACCGCAATCCTTCCCCATATATGCAATCCATGCTAGAGCAGAGAGACTGTCAGCAGCAGCCTTCAAGTGGTTAAAATAATCAAATCTTCGTCCTTCTGTCATTGCATTAGCTTTTACGATCACTTCATTCAATGGTTTCAGAAATTCAGACAATCCAGCAACATCAGGCTTCTGTGCAATGAAGATATGTCAATTATTACTATTTCATGCATATCACCAGGACAGATATTGTAATTAAAAACTTACAACACGAAGAATTATTCATGCATTCCCTTCTACAAATGAAATTCAAATCTCATTCTGTTCATAGTATTCAGAATTCAGATTAACCAACACGGTTACAACATGAAAGAAGAAATCGTTTGCTTCCAGAAAAATTGTAATCTCTACTGTTTCAGGCTCTACACTACAATACTGATCGGCTTATTTCAAGTGATAACCAGTAACAAGGCTCTTTTCCGTCCTCTTTCATTCTTCTAAAACCACCCGTCAAACTTTCACCATGTAAGGGTAAATCCAGGAATTCCATGAAACATGGAGTTTCACTATTATGTCTGGAGGAAAGAAGTTTAAATATTCAGCTAATGCACACGGTCTGTAAATCTTTGCATCCATATTAACATTCTCAGCAAGCTAACTAAGCATGCCATTGCATTTAATTCACTCGCCACTAAACTGTCCAGGGTTAATAGTATGTTATAAAGGATAATATTAAAAATATAAATAACTTTTTCAAAAATTGACCAGATGATGCAAGCCAAATCCGCCATTCTACACCAAAATCAACCGATTCAGACGAACGTTTCCTCATTGCACATAAGCTTAATATACAGCAATAACTGCTCCCCACAGCAGAGATCCATTTATGAAAGGAAAAAATAAAAAATAGAGAGAAATGTCGCTGAAGAACTAACCTGAGTTTCCTTGACTTTAATCAAAAGCTCTTTCTGAACAGCAAAAGCTTCTTGCACAAACTTGGAGACCTGCAGAACTTGTCCTCCAATCTTCTCTGCAGCAGTCGAAAACCTACCGATATACTGGTCCATCAGATCGCCAAAGGCAATTATCGACGGATCCAGCACCACATCGGCGCCAGAGAGAGCGGCAGCGTCTACCCCACGCGAATGGAACCCGATCGACAGCGCCTCCAGGCGCGACACCGCCGACTCCAACCTCTCTATCAGTTTCTGGTCCATAGCTGATAGCTCAGAGCCAATCACTTTGGCAACCAGTGAAATGAAGATGATGAAATAGAAATAGATCGCCCGGAGAGATGAGGCCGTTAACGTGCGTGCTAGCCCTTTTTTCTTTTCTTTTCTTTTCTTTTTATTTTGCCTTTTTTTTGGCCTTTTCCCCAATTTCTTTACATATTATTTATTTTTTATTTAATTACCCTCATAGTTGGCTAAAAAATGTATTCTTTTAATTATTTTTAAATTAAATTAATATTTTAAATTTTCTCAATTTCATTTGTTTAGTTATATTAATTAAAATAATTAAAACATTTGAGTTAATTAATACTACAATTTATTTGTTAATTTAAGTTAGATTAAAATGTATAAGATGTTTAAAAGTTTAAAATTAAATTCTCTAATTTTTAATTTTATTTTTGAAACTATCTAACGTTAATTAACTTCAATATATTATTAATAGAGTTTTTCAAATAAAATCAATCAAACACATGCCACATTACATGAAAAAATATTTTTATTAATTTTTAACACCATTGAAAGAAGGATAAAATTATAATTTTAACACATATTCTCTCCGTTTAAAAATATAAGATATTTTTTAAGAAGTTGAATGTTAAAAAATATAAGATATTTTTAATCTTTTAAGGTATAATCATTGTCTTTTTTTTTAAGTATCCATATTGATAATGATTTTGTATTTATTGTAGGATATTTAATAAATATAAAAAATAAGGTTAGTTAAAAGGTAGATAACTACTTTATTAGGAATAAGATTCAGTTAAAAAATACGTTATATTAACGAAAGGAGTACTATTCTCTTCTTTTTTTGCAATATATTGATACAAATTAAGAAAAAAATTATAATTTCATTATTCTTAATCAATTAAAACAGATTTTTATATTAAATAAATGAAAAGAAAAATATATAAAAATTATCATTGATAAGAATTATATGAATAAAAATTTATCATTTAATATAATAAAATTACGCATCAATGACAACAAAAAAGGCAATAAAACTTATGCAAAAATAAATATTTAAAACTAATATAATAGTAAATATTTAAAATATATACAATTTGTATCCATTTATTATTTTCTTATATAAAATATCACATAATCTTTCATATGACTTTTTTTAATTTAATATAGAAAACTAATATAATAAATTAATTAATAATAGGGACTTTAAAAAATAAAATTAAATACTAAAAAAATAATTTTAAATGTTTAAAGATGAGTAAAATTATATGTAATTACTTTAAAATTCATAAAATTTTATGTATCTTGGCTTTCAAGTTGTTGAGATCATTCAATTAAAAAAAGAATTTTAATTGTGTCAAATTGGATGGACGAGGACGCCGAAAGGGGAAATGGAAAAGTGCGCGTGGGGTTGGAAGGTGAAAATGGAGATGCTCAAAGCGAATTTTGGGATACCCCACGTGTCACTTTGCTAGAGAATCTTGGTTTTTCCTTCGATTGGGGCCACTAGATGCAGTTTGCCGTGTAGGACACATTTCATCATAAATTTCATACGAGTCTCGCACATCGTTAACTCTTAATGGTAATACTAATTGGCTAACGGTTGATGAACATTCATTAAAATTCAAAAGATAAATGTCTATTTTTATTCTTAAAATATTTCAATAAGAACATCCAATGGCTTAAAAGCTTTTGTCATAGCATTTTTGCCCCTTATGCGACTAAAACGGAGCAGATTTGTCCTCACCCTTAAATGATAAGTCACGTCCATTAATTTGAGATATGGGTCCCACAATCATTGATAAGTGGCAAGTGAACTCACATTAATTTAGTCTTAATTCTATCACTTATTTCTCTCTCCATGCATCTTTTTCTTTTTCTTCATCGCCCTGCCTCTCTCTACAAGTCACATGTTGTCACTGTTGTCTCAATAGCCACAACTACTGGCCTCCACAAATTGCATAGCTTTTGTGAGCGTTTGTTTTTTCTTCGGCAAATTTTTTGCTTCCAAGAAAAGCAATGCTAGCACAGAAGCACTTGTTTGACGCACTAGAAGAGGGTGCTTTACACAGTGAGAGGAATCGCCATGGGAAGCTAGACGATGGATTGGACGCCTATTATTGTGCCTAAAACCCTCAACCAACCTAAAATTTTCATGACATGAATTTTCATTAATTGTGTTGTTTCATGATCTTTTTTCTCGTTGCTATGTATTATTGATTAGAGATCGAAGCCCTTTGGAGAGCACCGGTGCCAAAGAAGAGTATGTTAGCTGATTTGTTATTCTAATTTTCTTTCTTTGTTTACTATCCGTATGATTCTTCTCCTTCACTTCCATCAATTATATATGCTGCTATTTTTTATTCAATGTGGACCGGATTCTAAATCTACATGGTCTTTCTATTTCATTATTTTCTCATCTCATTTTACGGCACTTTCTTCAGGATAAATTATGTGGTTTTAGGAGCACTCAAGAATATTGGGGGTGGTTTGAGCTATTCACCATGAGTTCGTATTTGCGTATGGAAAAATGAAATATTGTTTTGTGCTATAACTTGGATTGTTGTTTTATTTACTCATCTTACAGGGAAAAAAATTCTTGTTTGCAATTGTTGAGAAGGATCAAATCTGCTTAGGTTGTGGTTTATGAGTGTAGATGAAGAAGAAACCCACCAATATGCATAAAATGAAGAGGAAGATGAACATGCAAAAACCCCAATGGCAGAAATTTTAGAGAGAAGACGAACACTCTCATCAGAAGGTAGGAAGTGTCTATTGTTTTCATTTTGTCATTTTAATTTCAGTCACTCTTCCACTCAACTCCATATGTTGGATGACACCTGTCATTGTAAGTCAAACTTCTCCTTCTCTCACCCAACTTAAAAGTCAACATTTGGATATTCAATGGATGAAACAAATTTGTTATGTTTTAATTACATAAAGGAAAAAAATATTGCAATAAAGACTTTAAACCACTATATGCTCCTATTAAAATACTTTAAAGATAAAAATAAACCTTTATCCAAATTCAAAATATCGAAATAAATGACCTCATGTTTTGTTTCCTCCTTTGTTAAATAGGTCATTAACTTTTTTTTGGGGGGGGGGGGGGGGATGTCATATAAGTAAAGAGGACAGAAGTGTTGATGTGGGGAACAGCATCCAAAATTACCCAAGTACATGATCAGTTGGAGTATGGCACAGAGGATAATTCTTATCAATTAAAATTGAATTAGATTCCTCTATAGGGCATCATGCACGTACACGTATTCCTTTCCTTTTTTTCCCCCATTTACTTTCATTGCCTTTCTCTTCTCTTTTGATTTAGGAAGCACGTGCTGTCAACAAAGTCTGTCTCTTTTTCATATACATATACATGAAAAAGATTGTCGATTTTATTTTACGCCATTTTGACGTTTGCATTTATCAATCACGTATGAAACTTCAGGGAGCGAAAAGATGGTTATTCAAACAAGTCAAATCAAAGACTTGGATAGAGCATATCATAAATTAGATAGCTCAAAAGGGAAAAGAAATTGGTGAAAGCAAGCCAGAAGGCAATTATTTATCTTACAGCATCAGGTTTGATGGGATGAAGGATGCTTCAAGTTGCAGGCAAATCATAAAAGTTGAAAGAGTACCTGCTTTAGCTCAATGTCAGGGCCAAGAGCTATCATTGTTGAAAAATGGTAATTGAGGTCACAGCAGGCTCTTGTCATTTACCAAACATGACATCGATAGCAACTGAATTATCAGCCAACCTCGAGTCTTTCCACATCTTGAACAGTTTCACTGGGTCGCAACGGCCCATATTATGATCTTTAGACTACTTATGCATTTCATTATTTAAAATAAGAAGTTTCAACACGATTTTTATTTCAAATATGAGGCCACTGGTATTGAGCCCAATTTTGACTTGAAAAAAAATACACATTGGGTTGAGGGTCTAGGATTCTCAAGCTATTAAAATTGTGTAGCCTGTAGAGATACGTGTCTTTACAAGAAGGCTATCTCTTCACAAAACAATGCAATACAACCTATGCACATGTTGGGGGCAACTTCGCTGTAAAAAGATGTATGCACATGCCGGGGGCGTTGTAAAATGATATATGCACAATGGCTCGCAATTAAAGAAATCAAACAACACTAAATTACACTGTGATTAAAAGAACAAACTACATTGCAACAAATAAAATTGCGGTCGCCAGATCAATTGGCACGAGGAGGAAGAATTACAATCATCTCCATCTTGACTGTTCTATAGAATCCACATTCTTAGGGTGATATGGAATTTTACTGGGAATTGCGGAATTTGAGGAAGGAACAGGCTCTTTCTCTCTTATTGTACGAAGTTCCTATCAAGAGAGTAGTAGTTACTTGTTAGATATCAAGGGAAGCTAAAATCAACACTTTCTCCGTAAAAAACTTGAATATATTTATCAAAGATATGTGCGACAGAGACTAGTGAAATAGTAGCACCCATAATAGGTTTTGTTAATTATTCTGACACAATCCCACAACTAACCATCAACATTTTGTGTTGAAATTTCATTAATCTTAGACTTGTATGCGCCAAGTGAGGTATTAAAATTTGTTTTTATCAAGGCACGTTTATGTGAAAGAGTGATTAGGGAAAAAGACTTACAGAACGGAAGGGGAAATCGTCTGCCTCAAGCATATGAACGATTTGGCCCATCTTTGGTCGTTTACTAACATCCAAATCTATACAGCGCAAGCAAACCAGCAAAGCTCGTTTCAAAGATCTTGGAGAGGGCTGAACCTCAATCAAAGGATCTACCAACTCTTCACCGCGACGACTTGCTACCATTCCCTTGAACCAATCAATCAAATTCATCTGAACCACATCAAAGTACAAAATCAGAGTTAAGGTTACAGTGTTTCATGGAATGCTACAAAAGAAAAGCTCGAGAAATCATGGAATCACCTCTCCAGGTGGTCTAGAGTAATCAATGGGACTTCTTCCTGTAACTATCTCCATGAGTAGAACCCCAAAGCTATACACGTCACTTCCCTCATTAAGCATTCCCGTGCTTGCATACTCAGGTGAAACGTATCTGTGGAAAATTAGTGGGAAAAAATAAAATGAAATAAATTATCCGTGTAAATATTCCACTCTAAAGCTTAATCAGTCAAGATCTATGTATAGTTTCACTATGAATCATGATCTCAGTTGAAGCATTGACTACTTGGTTATAAAGAATCTGATGTCATGTGCAGGAGTCAGAAAAACTTAGGCTGTTGAAAGTTTAATTATAATCTCTAATACTATGTAGGAAAAATCATTATTGCAAATGGCTTATAAGGTTGAGGAAAAAACTAACCCAAATGTCCCCATTACACGTGTGGTCACATAGGTCTTCTCAGAGCCTAATAACTTGGCTAGTCCAAAGTCTGATACTTTAGCATTCCACTTTCTATCCAAAAGAATGTTGCTGGATTTTATATCTCGGTGCACAACTTTGGGTTCTAACCCTTCATGCAGATAGGCCAGCCTGTTTCATGATGAAGAACAAACATCAATTTGGTCAATCAAAAAGCGTGATAGTTTTTTTTTTTTTTTCCTTTTTCATTAACAGAATGTATCTCCTATGAATTGAAATGGAGAAATGAAACAACAGACCCTTTTGCTGTCCCAATGGCAATTTTCATCCGTACATCCCATGTCAAGGGACTAACGGGGCCAACATCACCATGCAACCACTGCTCCAAATTTCCATTATCAACATACTCATAAACAAGCATCCTGGATGATCCGTGAGGGCACAATACACATAATTTTAGAGGAATTTCTGTAATCAAAAGGACCTTTAATTGAAAGAGTAATAGTCATGTAAACTGAATAATACCTTTGAGGACCTTCTGCGCAATATCCAACTAAACCCACCAAATTCTTATGCCTCACTTTTCCAATGGCTTCAACTTCCACCTTAAACTCCTTCTCTGCTTGACCCCTTAGTTACAAAGAAAGTAGGAATATCAGATGGGCAATGCAATAAAAAGTAGAAACAAGAAACCCAAAAAGGATTCTAAACAAGTGATAGAATTGCCGAATAAAGCTGCAACCCTTCAATAAATCGTATGCACAGTTTTTATTAGTTTGGAGATCTTTCAATGCTTGTTAAAGCAGTATAAAGAATTCATGTGCTTAGTCAAAGATGTACCCTTGTTGGATTTGTGTTCTCAGTTTTCTTTGAGAGTAATATGAAGTGGTAATTAGTAGTTTTCTCCCAATTTTCTTCCTAAATGGAAATTTATTAAAAAATTGAGAAAAAGTTTAATGGATTCGGCCAAACAAAAATAAGCAAGCCCACTTGCCGAACTAATCACGACTAAATATTGGAGATGTCCAGGAAGAAATTATTGGCATGATTATACGTCTGTAAATAGATGGCTTGGTTACCGTGTTCCCCTTTTGCAGTCAGTCTCTAGGTTACGAGTCGGAAAGACTGACATGCGTATAAAGCTTCCTAACTTGTAAATCTTGAATCAAGACTAAATATTATTCAAATATATTTTTATGTTTCCAAAGAAGACTAAAGCTTTTTCGGGATCAAGATTTATATCTCATATAAAGGAAAAGATGAGATACAGCAATTATGAACAAAAGGATAAGTAATCAAAAAGTAAAAGTAAAGAGAAAAGAAACAACAATCAGGCCCCAGATGAGTAGTAGAACGAAAAGAACAACAACAGAGTGTCCATTTACTTTTCCTAGTTTTCCACGAAACAATTGGTAACGATCAGAAATATCGGTACCAACCGACAACAACTATTTCTTCTAGACTTTAGATCAACGCAATAACCGTTGGTTTTCCCATGTCAATTCATTCCCGCATGAAGTTTGCATCTGTACAAGTTAAGAACTTGAAATACAATGAATGATTTTCCGTAGAAACAGGGAATGGATTAATTTGTATCGGCAAGTCCAAACAAGCATGCAGTAATGCAGGAAACATTAGCAAGCAAAATGAGGATAAACGGAACCTCAAATAATAAATAGTCAAGTTCGCATTAAATTTGAAAAATTTAAGGCATACTTGTTGTTCAGGAGATTCTTCACAGCCACCACCGACCCATCTTCAAGAACTCCTTTGTACACAACGCCATACCCTCCTTCACCGATCACACTTTCTTCCGCAAACCCGCGTGTCGCATCCTCCAGCTCCCTCAAGCTATACCATCGGCCCCACCCTATGTTTGGAGCGTCCGCCGACACGTCACTGCGGTTCCCCCCGGACACATCACTCTCATCGCTCGTCTTCTTCCCTCTTCTCTCGACCTCAAGCTCAACCTTCTCCTTCTTCGGATCCTCATCTTCGATTTTAATCTCTGCTCGCTCACAATTCTGCTCGAGATCCAAGGCTTTGACTTCCACGATCTCCTTGGAGACCAAGGGAATCGTCCCGGAACTGTGCTTCACGCGCATTTTACGCTTCGACAAGATTCGATTCCGACGAACGCAGAGAAAGATCAGAAGCAAAATTACCAGCACGATTAGAAGGAAAATGCCGATAACGAAGTAGAGCTTTAAACCCAGGAATGGAGTTCTTTTGGAGAGCTGAGGAAGACCATGACCGGGAGAATCGTCGGAGGCCATTGCTTCCGACGAGGTGAGTGCAGACAGAGGGAGGGAGGGGGAGAGTGAAATTTCCCGGGGAAAAGTGATGATAACGAAAGTGAAAGAGAGATAGAGAGAGAGACGTTGGAGAGCGTTTGGTTAACGAGAAAATGGTAGGGAATTGTGAGAGGAGGGTGAAAATAAAGCATCGGCGAGAATGGCCTTTGGGAAAGGGACAGAGTGGAGAGGCTGTTGTTAAGGGTGGGGTTTCAACGGATACAAAGCTTAAAAAAGCCGAGGAACGAAGGAAAAGATTACAAAGGAAAGGAGTTCAGTTGTTGTTTTCTGGGGTTGGACGCTGCATATTATTACGAAAATGCCACTCTCTCTCCAGCGACTTGGTGGGCCAGGGTGGCAGGACTCAATCCTGGGAGAAAATTTAGAAGCATTTGTTTATATATATATATATATATATATATATATTTTTTTTTTTTTCATGTAACATGGCTGCAAAAGTGCAAATGGGATTTGTACATCTTTCGTCAGTGCATGGCCAGTTTGAAAATCCGTTCTCAAAATAATTTTTTATTTTTTAAAATAAAAGAATAAAAATTTTTGTTTGATAATATATTTTTAAAAAGTATTTTGAAAATAAAGAAAATAAAATATTATTTTAAATCATAAAAAAATAAAAATAACTTTTAAATGTTTTAGGATTATTATTCTAGAAAATAAATAAGAATGAAAAAAAAATATTTTTATTTTTTTCAGAACATATTTTATAAAATATCAATTTTTAAATGATAAAATAAAAATAATTTTAAATTCTTCCATCTCCTCATTGGAAGTTACTTTTAATTTCTTCACACCGGAGTTGGGAAATATTTTTTGAATATGTTGCATTCTCTATCATGAAAAACAAGTTTTGATTTGATAAGCCATATAAAAATATTAAATTAAAATTAAATTCTCTTTTTAGTTATTTGCAATGAAGTAAGATCAGAAAATGTTACTTAATAATTTTGCATGTGACTTATATTGAGAATAAAAAAAAATAGAAGATACATAATAATAAGAATAGAAGGGAATAAATAATCAAAATATTCATGCATCTTACACAAATAGACAAAAAATATTCATGCATCTTAGAAGTGGTAAGCAAAAATTTCTAGAAATGGCATCGAAAGAATAAGCATGAATATTCAACTAATCAATATATTTATTTGCTCCCATGAAAGCGAGAGGGCATATTAACTTTAATTTTAATATGAGATTATTTGAAATTTGTCAAGGGATTCACTGTTTTAAATTTAAATATTAGATGAGTTTTAAACTGAGATGTATGGATTGATGAGCATATTATGACCATATATATGGAAAAATAGGTTGTGAAAGAGACAAAGGCAGGGGCTGAGGTGAGATGGAAAGTGTTCGTAAGTAATCCCCATTAGGAATGAGGAGTTGAAGACGATGAGGCAGCAATAAAAGATTAAGAGCTTGTGTTGATCTTGCAACACGCCACCAAACCCCTTGATAAAAAGGGTGGGTCCAATCGGTGTTACATTTTTGCTTCAGCGTTTGATTTCACCTGCCAGAATTGTTCCCTCTTTCTTATCTCTACCAATTTCTCATGATAGCTATTCTTGGATACGTGTGCCCTTTTCCATTATTATTCCCTTCCTTTCAACCTCGCCTGAAAGCTCTCCCCACACTTTCTTGCCCCTCTACAATCAATTCCGCTATTTCATTCCCAACCACGACACTTAATAGCCTGTTTGGTTCAATCCATTATAGGAACGGCATGGTAATCGATGGCAATTAATATTTCATTACAATTGAAAAAGTTGTTTGATTAGCTTTTAGGCGAGTACATGATGCTCTTTCAGTTTAAAAATATAAAATATTTTTTAAAAAAATTAATTTTTTTTTAAGTATCTATATTAAGTCAATTATTTTATATTTATTTTATAGTGTTTAATAGAAATAAATATAAAAATATATAGTTAATTTAAAAATAAATAACTATTTTATTAAAGGATAAAATCTGATTAAAAATATCTTTTATTTTTAACTAGAAAGAATACTCATTATTACATGTCATTACCAAAGCAATGGTGATACTCATTTATAGCTCTTCCATGTGAATTTTCATTACACTTCATTACCATTACCTTGTTCCAAAAATGCACTTCTGTCCTCGCTATCTCTCCCTGCTTCTCCTCCAGCTCTGCTCCCAATCATCTCTTCCGTCATCTTTGTAGCCATTGTCCACCTCTCCCCTCATCTCCACTGCCAGTTGTTCTTGTCATCTCTACCACCACTGTCGCCCCTAATCTGCAACCCCCATTGGCCTCTTCGTTCGTCTTCTCTGCTACTAGCTGCCTCTTCCTTCTTCATCTCTTTCACCATCATTGACCTCTTCATCTTCTCCACTACCAGCCCCTTCCTTCTCCATGTTCAGTGATTCCATTGTCTTTATGTTTAGTGAGGAGGGTTTTAAGGGTAGACATTGAAATTGGAGCTTGGAGGGAAAACCAGCAAGTACTCATTCTTGCCGTTGAGTAGGAAGGTTGTTGACTGCGACCAATGGCAAGTGGATTGTTAAACTAAGGGTTCCTCTTTTTCTTTTTGTTGAAATATTTAAGAAAAATTTATATATATTTTATAGATTTACATTAATTAATTAAATATAAATATATTAATCTTTATAATCTTGTGTGGATTGTGATAAGTGGAGCATATAAGTGAACCCAATGGCAGGGGCCTAACTTATAACTTTGTAACTGTCAATTATTTCCTATCTCATAACTGATTGAGTCAAGAATAATAATGTGAGATTTTATTATTTACTTAATTAATTATTAAGGTGGTTATTTGATGTGATTCATATAATACGATCAGTCAATAACTAATACATACAACTCTTTTACATCCTTTCTATTATCTCTGCACTCACTGAAAAATTACAAGGGCCTAATATGTTGTATGTCTGTCTATACTTGAGGTAATTAAGATATCACAATCAATCATGAATTATTCAAATACGCATATTGCTTTACTCAAATCTTATTTAATTTATATGAATTAAGATATTAACGTTAACATTTTCTTCATTTGAAGAATTAAAAAAGATCCTCATAGTTCCAGGCACCATTCCATAAACTCCAATGGCACTCCATGATTGATGATATGAAAGAAACCCACTACAAGCTTTTGTTACCTGTTTTGTGGCTTTTGATTTGCCATCTCCATCTCCTTGCTTCAAGAAAGTAGAGGGGTCAATGTTGAGAAGGGAGAATGGGAGGCTGATTTTTGTAGTGAATGATCAATGAGGAAGGTGAAGGAAGGAGGAGGGAAGAGGAAAGAAGGAATTTGGTATAGGATAATTTAGTAATTTTATATTTATATTTATTTATTTTGATATAAACATAAATTTTCTACCTACCATATTTAATACTGTACCAAACGTCTCATGGTAATATGGATTGCATTGTATTGGATTGCTTTACAATGCATTGCAATGTCATAGGAACTTACAATTGAAGCAAACGGGCCCTTCAAAATATTCTTCAAGTTCTTGTTTACATTAATCAACTTGAATTTAATTTTTATATTTGAAAAATCATACCTAAAATCTCATATTTAAATTGAAATAGTGCAAATAATCTTTTTAAGAAAATAAATGAGAAGAATTGAGATTTGAAACATAAGTGAAAGATTGAGAATAATAATTAAATTTATCTCTACTCTTCAACAAGCAAAAGATGAAAGTGACAGAAATGGCAAAGAAGAAAAAAGCACTGGCAATTAAATGCGCTAAAAGAGAATGAGAGAATTAAAATAATTGAATAAATGAGTTATAATAAAAAATGTAGCTGGATGAATCTAACTCCATATATTTTTCATATATTCAAATAAAAGCTTAAATCCAAATTCAAGCACTCCTACCATGCCAAATATCAAAATAAGACATTATGACAAAAATAATATTTTATTAATAATGTTCTTCTAATGTTACAATTCACATATATTATCCCTCTTTATTTATTTATTTATAAATAAAGTATCACCAAAAGCATATTTTTAAAATTTTATATTTTTGTTCGAGAAAAATAAAGTTATAAAATATATTTAATGACTTTTATTTAATATATGTAATTTTTTCTAAAAGTGTGGTGGAAATATAAATTTATACTAATTCAAGGCACAACACAAGCTATTAACAACACCCTTATGAGTATGAGTTATTGCATTTTTTTTTTTTTGGATTGGACAAACATTCGTATGGTTATTAATTTCGACCTCGTTTTAATTACTCTACCATATAACTAGATAGTACATCACGTGGAGCCCAAAAAAAAAAAAAAAACCAAATATTGCCATCTGATTTCGTAACTTCATCTGCGGGTCTGGTTTGAGCATGGATATGATTCTACATATTCTGCTGGCCATGACATGTCACTTTCTTATTTCAAATTGTCAACATGTTTGATGCGCAATTACTGAGGGAAGGTGACTATTTTTAAACAGAGTCTCTTCTGACGAATATTTACCAATCACCGACGAGCTTGAAATGTTTTCAGGTCTGGTTTTAGTATTGGCACTGGCATGATGTGTAAAAACTAAAAATGAATATTATACGAAAGTCAGACAAACTTGGATCTCTTTCTCAAAAGCGATAGCGATAAAATTTCATTTCTTTAAAAATATTAATATGTGAACTCAAAGCTCGTGAAACATTATGAGGCGCTGGGGCTGGTGCTGTCGCGGCCTATTTAATGTTTTCATGGAAATTGCATATTTCATTAATATTTCTAAAAAATATTTAAATTCAAATTAAGTGAACAATTATATTTGAATTTAAATTGCAACTACTCTTGTTCAATGCATACAGCACCAGTTTTCCAATGTCAAATGTTTAGTTTAAAATGTCGTCGTTTTAAATTTTAGATCACAGAATTTGTTTTTTGAGGCTATAAAGGTTCTCAGTTTTAACTCAAGTTAATGCAAGTGACGAGTTTCGTGTAATGCGAGAGGTGAGGATCAAGTTTTGGGTGAGATTGTAAGACAATTTAACCCCGGTATTTGTACATGCATGTTAAAAAATCATCAATGGTTGCGCAAAAAGTCAAAACATCTTGAAGGTCACGAATCTTGTAAAGCAATTTACATGAGTAAACTCTTATTTATGCAACTAATAAAATGTCCATAAATTAAATTATGTAAAACATATTTTTTTATGTTAAGTATTTTTTTCAATCATCGATCTTAGTTCCTATTTTTTTATTAAAACACTTCAGTCTCGTACATATATTATAACTTACTGATTATTGATTCATAACTCGAACAAAGATTAAATTGTCGGTCAATCAAGAAAAGAAAGGGAGTTATGGATTTCAAAGCGATATGTTTTTTTTTTTTTATACCAAAGTTGTGCCTATTCAGGTATGATAAAATAAATACGATGATGTAAGTTGATGAACATTTTGACTTTGGAATCCTAGTCATATCTTGAACTACAGCGTCTTGTCTCCCATGTGCCGTAAGATGCCGCGAGTATTTCATTGCGTTTTTGAATTTTGAGGCCAATCAGATTTGCATTGTCATGTAGAAGCATGATTAGGTTAAATTGACCAACAATTAATCGTGCGGATAATTGTGCAAATGAATTATTTAATTTTAAGTTCTATATTATACAATAATAGACACTCAGCCTCCACCGATTTTGTCAAGCAATTAACTGGCTAGATATAAGTATCATACCAAAACAAAAACCAAAAAAAAAAAACGACGGATTGTTTAAAATTTATCAAATAAAAATAAAAGTAGATTAAATTTAGAACATCCAAAACTCAGTAGAAAAGATGACGAGTTCTCACTCTGGGTGTCTTAATATAACTCAACTTAAAATTTCTTCACAGTAATGGCATCAGTAAAGCCGTCTTCTATTGTATTATACGAACTCCAGTTAGATAAATTTTGATTAACTTCCGCATTCAATGTTTTTAGTGATGGTAGTTAAATTTACCATGGAAAAACATACTTCAAAATCTTTAAATGTAACCGCCAAATCTAACTTAGATAGTTTAAATTTTATCACAGTGATAAACACGTTATGCTCATTGCTCTGATGAACATTAATGAACGTGAATCCCCTACATTCTTTGTCATTGCGGGGAAGATAATGAGTTATTTAATTGACGAATTCCCAGTTTAGTGATAAGTTTATCTATTCCTCGCACAAATTCACCTAGTTGCCTCACATTTCTCTGAGTTGTTTTGGACTTCATGTTTGTATGACACGGAATATTGTTTAGATTATTGGCTAAACAAAAAATATTAGACTACTTATATAAATATTACAAGCCGTACCATTCGTGAAACATGAACAATATTAGTATAAGAAAGATGTGAAATTTTTATTGGCTGGGAAATACTTTAAGGCAGAGGTCACTGACAGAAAACGGGATTGAAGCAAAAAGGGTACACGGATGCTGAGTGGAGAAGTGGAGTGCACAGAAAGAAGACATTGAATTCATTTTTTTTAAAAACAATGGGTTGTTTGATAATGGAGGGGTGTAAGTCAAGCAGGTTTGGGTCAGGTTTAGATGCAAATCACTGATCAATACCAAGACACGTTTTGTAGATGCTATAACCATTTTGTCTTCTTTATATAGTAATGATTCAATATTCAGCTTTTGATCGGGATGATTGATATTAAAAGTTACGCAAATCAAACTAAACTTTTTTTTTTATTTTTTACATGGCCAGAGACACCAACCTATTTTCATGTCCCTCAATCTACAGTTGATTTGGACGCAATCTTCTATAGACCCTAGATTCTGGGAGAGTTCTTTGAAATGATTTTTTTTTTTTTTTTAACATGTATGTAGACTTGAACCCCAATATATTATCGTGCATAGGTGAACAATGCCTCTTGGTACAATCCAATCAAACAAACAACCCTGTATTTTTTTGAATATAGGATTATGAATAAATCGTACAAACAAAAGTAACTGCCTCATGTCAAAATCAAAAAGGTTTATGCACTCATGAAGTGGATCATTGAAAATTGTAAGGTTATAATTATCACTACATGTTTGCGGAGCAAGTGAATCAACATATCTATTTATTTCTTTGAACACATAATTGAATGTAATCATCCACGCTCATATGATAAGATAATTGGTTTTGTTGATAGTTTTCATATGGGGGAACATTCCTATATTTTGCTAGGGGCCAATCATTCCCCTGATCTTGAAGGCATCTTATTTTTTAATTGTTTATAGGTTTTTTTTTATTGACAGTAATTACTTACAAGGCAAGAGCGAGTATTAAGTGTGAGTATTTTTTAATAAAAATTTAAATTTAAATTTATCATATTAAAAATTTTACATCTTACTTGTGAACAACAGGCTTGGAGGAGCTTCTCCATCCACTTGCATTCACTCTCCTGGTTGTGCTGCGCGCCCACACTTGCATTTGGGTATCAGTCAATCCTATTTTTTCGGGCCACGTCTTGAAACATGAAGTGGAAGGCCCGTTATCTATCTCTCTCGCAATTCCTTCTGGTCTCGGTCTGTCTAGCATCTTTTTCCACTTCAAGTACCATGGAGAGAGTACATAAGCATTCATTTTAGAGAAAAAAATTATAACCGTTAAAGAAAATGCGAAAAACAACCGTGAAGAGAGCATATGAAATGCGACGTGTATGAGAGCAACTATCCTATCCAGGTTCAATAATAGTATGGTTTACTCCAGATTAATTAATAGAATGCTAACTCAATTTTTTTGCCAGCCGAGCTCAAATAAATACTCCAACAGGCTTTACGAAAAATAATAATAAAATTATAATTATCCTATTAAAACATGGTACTATTCTGTTCTTATTTTCTTCACGATGGCGTCATAATGGATTTCTCTGGTTTTCTCTTTTTTGTCCTGTCTGATGTGGGGACGGTATTGAAAATGAGATGGTTGGTCTCCACACGTGGCATGTTGTGAGTTGTTTGATTCACCGCATGCGGCTAAGGAGGTTGTCAGGTGATTTTTTCTCCCTTGCCTGAGGCTGAGGAGGGATCGAGTGTGGAGGAACCAGATCCTGGAAACATTGAATGAAGGGATGTTCTAGGCCTGCTACACATTAAATTGAGAAATTTAGCAGGAGTCGAGATTAATCGGATCGAGTTGGGATTGTATTTTTAAAATTTGAAGTCGAACTTTTTAATTAAAATAATACGACTCTTTTATTAATTCAAACCAAATGACCAATGACAATGTGTTTTTACTTTTTTATCACGTGTGCAAGTGGCTTGATGTGATGTGGGACGGTTATGAAACTACACCTGAATGGACAAAATCCATTCTCATGCTGGAAAACCAGTGAATTAATCAATACTCTCCTATTTGCGTGCTTTTTTATTTTTTAATTTTTAATTTTTGAACGTACTTATCCACTTCGGGTGCACTACAAGTTTAGATTGGCCGTGTCACCCCACCATGAAAGCATGATGTTGATCATCAATCACTCGGACTCTCTGGATAAAAATCGCTTTTTGGCTTGGCACCAAAAAATTATCAACCAACTTTTTTTTTTTGGTGGAATGCATGAGAAATTAAATCAAATTAAATACATTTCTACTAATGAGAGTTGGATATGATAAAAGTAATTGATCCCTCACAATATACTAAATTAATATTTAAATTTTTATTAAAAAAATGCTCATATATAATATCTAATTGTATTTTGAATATGATTATTTTAGATAATACTTATGGTCAATTAATATTATGCATGCGAATAATCCTCAATAATCATATTTTATAATTTTACTTTTTTAAAATAAAAATATAAATTTTTAAAAATATTTTTTATTTAAATTCACACACTTGATTATTACATTGTAACCATTTCATTTATTGGTGTAATATTGAAAAACATCATTAATAAATTTTTTTTTTTCAATTAACATCTATTTTGGGATAACGAAATATATTCAAAATTTTCTTATAGACTCATATAGTTATACTCCATTTAAATCATAATATAAATCTTTTTTAGAAAATTTTGTTTAATCCAAAATATAGTTAATTAGGTAGTTATTGTAATTTTATTTTCATTACACCCTTACTATTTATTGTACTCAAGAGTATGATTAGGAAAATGAAAAAAAATTTAAAAAATCAAATTTTTAACTAATTTTGTTAAAAATATAAATTAATTAATAATAATTTATAATCTTATGTTGTGACTCGAAGGAGTAATTTGGGACTAAGGGAGTACATTCCTTTACATTTAAATTCCCTAATAAATATGAACAATACATGCAGTTTTCAAATGATTTCCTACAAGATTTTCACTGGAAGAATGATAAAGGTTTTAAAAGGACTAATTAATTTATATTAGATTTTAAGTATTAAATTTTATAAATTTATAATTTAATTTCTTAATTTTATAATTTCGTTATGAAAAATTTATAACTTATATTTTAAATTTCAATATGAAAAATATTTTTTTATTTTTTAATTATATTAAAATTTAAAAAATAAATAAAAAATTCATTATGATATATTTATAAAATTAAAAAATTGAGTTAAAAATTTTTAAAATTCAACACTTAAAACTTAATTTAAATTAATTAATTTTTTTATCATTCTCCCTTGTTACTTGACAACTACTTTGGACTGATCCAGATTCATCACCGGGCCCATTTTCTCAGTAAATGAGTTACGGTTTAACCCAGCACTCATTTAAATATTTAAATATATTTTACAAAGTTTCAAAAAAATGAGCTATGTAATTCACGATGATTAAAAAAAAAAAATCAAAACGAGGTTTTATACTCATAAAAAAAGGTTTCATCCAAAAAAAAAAAATCGGAATACTAAGTTTGGAGGGTGGGATTCTGCATAGAAGAGTAGTCCACGTTAAAAATCACAATCTGGAATTCTGGGCGTTCCTGCGTTGAATTTCACGGAGAAGGCCACAAAATCCATCAACGAGAATTGTTCGTTCATCTTTCCAATTCCAGCCAATTCCTCAGGCCGTTACCCTACAACTAAAACTCTGTAATTGACTTTATCTTCAATTCGTTTCTCGTTGATTTTCGTCTACTTCCCTCTCCCAAATGATCACCGGCGGCACAAAGAAGAGGCTTCGCGCCATCCCCACTCGAAAAAGTACTTCCAGCTGTGCCGTCATTGACGGTTCCTTCTCTGATGAATCCCTCTGTGTAGTTTTCCAAAAACCTCGTACCTGTCGTTCTCCCTGCATTGGCGACAGTAGCGCCACCACCCCCTTTTTCAATGACTCTTCCACCGCCGACGTCATCCTCCGCCTTTTCGTCGATAGCGCCTCTCCGCTTGGATCTTCATTTTCCTCCGATTCTGGCTCCGTCGACCCCGCCGTGTCTACCTCCGACCTCCACGTGTACCTTCACTCTGACATTCTTCGCCGCGCTAAATACTTCTCGGTTATTCTATCGGATCGATGGAGTGGCCAGTCTCGTCCTCAAGAATCTGATGGTTTGTTGAAGCTTAATCTTGGTGTCCCACTTGCTTCGGGTGCCATTCAGTCTCATCTGACGGTGCTGGAATTGCTTTACACTGATGATTTTGCTAATACCATCGATAGTGCGTCGACTGCTCTTGATCTTCTTCCAGTTGCCCTAGAATTGCTATTCGAGGAATGCGTTCGTTCGTGCGTTACTTTCCTGGAAGCAGTGCCTTGGTCCGAAGAGGAAGAGAGGAGAGTGTTGAATTTGATCCCTTTCCTTCGTGAGGAAGAGTCAAAAGAGCTTCTTGCTAGGGTTTCTCCTGCGAGGGAAGATTCTTGCGAAGTGATGCTTGAAGGTTTGATTTCCTCTGCTATTCACAATTATCAGAACACGGCATTTGTCAAGGCGTTTGTGGCCAAGATTCTGCGGGATTTCTCTTCGAGGGAATCAGCCAAGAGAGTGCTGGAAAAGGCGTTCAACGCGTCCTTGCAGACAGCGAAGGAGTGCTTGGAGGAGTATTCCAGTCCCGATTTTAGAGGGGGGCATAACGAAACAGAGGCGTTACAGAGATCGAATTTACACGAAGCGATGACGCGTGGGAGGCATTTGCAGTGGTTGCTGGACAGAATGATCGAGCTGAGGGTGGCTGATGCAGCCGTTATAGAGTGGAGTGAGCAAGCGGCGTTCACAGCTGATTTACAGAGGGCGTTCCGGGATGATGCCTGGAGGAATATTGTCCCGGGTCTTCCTGCGGTTTTGCTTCGGTGCACTTACAGGTTAGCGAAGGCTGTCTCTGCGGGCGCTATTTTGGCTGCTAGACAGGTAAATGATTCTCTGCCTTGAAGCTTTTTCATTCTCAGTTTTAATCCTTCTACTCAGAACGTTGCATAGCATGATTTTGAGACAAAATGTTTTATATTATGTGCTGATTAAATTCCTAACGTACTTTCTACTTGCGAGGAATTTATCTGCATTCGGGTCATTGTTTTCATTCAAGGTTGTGTCTATATAAAGTATGGAGTTTCTTCGTTGCTCCTATATGTGAACCTGTTGGGGCTTATGGAATGCAGCCATGGGCCACTGCCCACTGGTACTGATATGAAGTTGCCAATCTTATTGCTTAGATATTCTCTAAAGGTGTTCTTTTGGTCTAGCTATCTCTATGGCTCTGTTCCTTTTCTTTTCTCAAATATCTAATGGTTAAGTGAATGGTCCTCAGATTCTTCTTTGGCAGTGGGTCTCATCTACATGCATTTAGTTAGGTATATTAAGGTTTAAGGATTCTTTTAAAATATCAGCTACTCATTCGGATATTAAGTTTTATTTATGTATAATTGAAATGCCTTGTCTCTCTCTGTTTTTTTTTTTTTTTTTTTTTTTGAAGAGAGGTGAAAGAAGAAATGCCTTAACTCTTGGACTGTTGAACTTGTTGAGTAAAGCAATAATTTATCGCCCTCAATATGCTTAGGTTTACTCCTGAAAATGGAGTGTTGTGTTTGATGCATCAAATTCAAACGAATGATAAGTCAGAAACGCAAATCAAGTAGGCTTCTCTAGATATTATAGCTTGGTGTCCTTACTGTGCGTATATTTTATGTTGTTCATTAGCCATATATTTTGAGAGTCTGATTTTCTGTGATTTGTGAATCAGTTTGAGACTGTATTTGTGTCGGTATTGTCTCTGATTTTTGTTCTTTGTTTAGGAATTAGAGGCAATTCAGCATAACTAGCTGAGTTGTGATAGAAGCAGTACAACTTAGTTGAGTCACATACTCACATTGAGTTTGTATCATTTGTTAGTTGTCACATTATGTTATTGATCACCTAAAAGCTGAGTTGGGTCAATATGAGTGATGATGAATGCTTGTGTTAGATATGAAGATCAGGGGTTGCTTTATACCCCAACCTTCACAAAAAGGATGTCTTCTGCATCTTTGAGGGGGGAAAAAAAAATACAGGCTCAAGGAAGTATCTGTGATCCGGTTTAGCTGCGGAGTTAAACGAACTACATATTATCATGGACTAAGACTTGCATTAGCACATAGTTCCCTTGCATTTGAGGCAGATTGTGAATCCTTGTTTCTCTTTTCACAGCAGCATTCTGACGTATGCTATCGTGTTTTGTCCATTTTAACTCTACTGCACGTTCATGTGCCTAACAGCCTAAGTCTTGAACAATAATACTAGTTCGCATTTAATGTAGACGTGGAAGTGACTAGAACTTTGCAGTTGTGAATGCATTAGAATGCTAATGGCTGCATCTTCATGTTGTGTTTAGGTGAGAAGGAAGCTTGTGGAAGGCTGGCTTCCTGTTCTGGTTGTATGCAAAGACAGTGTTTCACCAATGTCACCCTACAAAGCATTGTATCTGGAGCTCGAGGAAACGTTCTTGAGAATTATCTCCACACTTCCTATGTCAGATGCTCAAGAATTGTTGCCGAAGTGTCTCAGCTTCTCAACCCGAAATGTCGAAGATTGTCCTCACCTGGTCACAGCATTCAATACCTGGTTCCGGCGTGCAGCCCAACCTGTGAAACCAGACTATGCTGATAACCCTGGTGAATGAGTGGCTGCTACCATGCGTCTTTGTTGCCTGCCTTCTGATAAAGTGTTGTGCATTTGGATACCGAGTGATTGGGAGGTGTTTTAACAGCGTATGGCGCGTGTATATATATGTGTAGATATAAACTAACAATCATGTAGGTTAGCTGCTGGCCCCTTTGACATTATCTTTGAGTCTGCTCTTGTATGCTCCTCACTACTTTGGTAATGGTCTGATCTGACTGTTTTCCGGATGGGTGTACGGCTATCAAGTTGCGAACACAGTTTGCCTGTTTGTTCTTTCTTCCTATTTCTAGACAATCACTCCCTATTTATAAAAGGTGATATCATAGTTAGAATCAAGACTAGTGGTTGGGCTTGACATATCACTTGTTTAAGCTTGTTTTTTTAAAGACTCGAGCTTTAAAAAAAAATGGCTTTTTTCAAGAAACTTGGCTTTAAAGTTTGGTTCTAATAATTCTTGAAAAAATGGATTAAGTGGCTTGTTTAGGCTTGTTTTTGTTTTATTCCTAAACAATAAATTTTTTTCAATTTTTAAGTTAAATTGAAACATATATGATTATACTTTAAATAGTTTGTTCTATTGTCTACATGTGAATGTTTGGATCATTTTAATCAAAGGTCAAAGCGAGAAGTTAGATGTTCTAAAATTTGGAATTTGGGACTTGTCATACCCATTGCTATCATGACTTGTTAGCCATAACGGAAAGCCACATCGGCCATGGCGGATGGTGCTTCACGAGTTGGCCACAACATATAGTATGTTTAGCCGCAAGTGGCTTCTGTGTTGCAAGCCATGGTGAACATACTCTTTAGCTGCAATGGATTAGTCTAGTTTTGCAAAAATGAAATTTACCCTGTTTGACTTGTTAAACGAATTCCTATGCTTTTGTAGTTAATTGTACTCTGATTTTAAAGGGCTTAAATACTTGTTTCCATACTTAAGTAATTTTTTTAGGATCCAATTTTTTTAAAGTGTTCTAAAATTAATCTTTGAAATTTTCTAATAGTCAAGTTTGATCCTTTCTTCCTTTAGTACCATTCTTAATCAAATTGTTTGGCTTTAACTACCATTGTTAGTTGGGGTTAATGTCCTAGATATTGCATCTTGTATTGTGCACATGTTCAAAGTCTAAAATGGCACTTATGTGCATCACACTGTTTAAAGCCTAAAAATTGGATTGGCTAATTGTAAGAATAGAAACTTGATATTTATTGCATCTTTGATATTAATAGCAAATTACAAGTTCTCTTTTGCAAATTTTAGTCACTTAAGCCTAACAACTGCATACTAGTGACTATTTTTCTTTTAAAAATGATTAAAATGGAGTAGCAGATTACAAGTTTTCTCTTGCAAATGTTTTAATCATTAAAGTCCAATATATATATATATATATATATATATTTGACTAGAACTGAATAAAAAATGACAAGTTCCTCTGTTCAAATTTTTTTATTAATTAAGTTAAACTACTAAAAGTCAATGACTATTTTGTATAAGAAAGTAACTAAAATTGCATAACAAATAACAAGTTTTGCTTTGCAAATTTTTGTTTATTAGAGGAGATTGAACAAATTGCTTTCGCTTTGACTAACTACAATGATACATTCTTAATCTTAACCACATCATGTATCAGGAATAGGAAAGAACGATTGTGGAGAATATCCACATGTCAATATTTTGCAGGCATTTTTTCGGCAACCAAATTAGGAATGAAAGGAAGCTCGATCGAATTTCAAAATTTAGAGGAATTAGCGAGTAAATAAACATGGCCCAGCTTGAGAAAATCAAGGATTCTAGAGAAAATCAATTGCAAACTTACTGAGAAAAAAAATAAAACTCACCCTACCCACAATTCCGTGGGCGAGTGAAAAGCTTCCTGAGGACAAAGAGCCACGGCGAGACAACGACGACGCTGTTTCCCGAGGTAGCACAAGCGAGGAGAGCAAAAATTGATCAAAAGTTGGAGATTCATACGAAAATGAGTAATCAAACCAGTTATCTTTTTTATTTTATGTTGGGAGCAATACAGTGATATTCATTTCACAAAAAAAAAAAAATCAGAAAGTGTCCGAAAACTTAAGAAGAATTATTATACGTCACAATACTTAATTATCATTTACATATTTTTTTTAAAAAATTCTCCATGATTCTCTTATTTTTCTTTTCATTTAGTATAAGATCAGTCCTCGAGTTCCATGTCCTAATAATTAAGGTTGAGATATTTTAAATTTTTTATATTATTTTCGACTACAAGATAAACATAAGGCCCTCCCCCGCATCTCTCTCAAGCTTACCCCAACCATTGGATAGTTGAAGTTCCCACTGTTATATCTTTATCACTTCATTGAAGATTGATAGATTATCATTATTCACCGCCAAAATCGAAACAAAAATACCCATCGCCTCAAATTTTATCTGATTAAGCATGTTAAACCCAATGGTGATATTGGATGCGTGACAATCATAACTTTGCCAACAATTTATAAAGGCATGAAAGTCCAAAAGTGTCCAAAATCTTCCATACATATCATACTCGAATTTTCGATGAACAGACCTTCAAGCACTCAAAAAAATTAAGACATTCACAACAAACGTCACCCAGAGATTGAATACAAGAGAGGCATGTATCAAGAACATATCGTATCGCCTGGATGGAGATGGAGGTGAAGATACACTGTATATATATCTAATACAAGCAAAACAAGAAAAACAAAACAATTATTTTGAAAACCATTATTGTGTTTGCTGTGGAAAGGGCCAAAAAAGAAGAGCTGAAACAAAAGAGAGTCATTTACAAAAGGCGTCTTCTAAAGTGGCGAGTGGTTCCTTGGTAAGTTTTAATGAGCAGTCCAACTCCAATGCCAATACCAAGGCACACACTGAGGCCAATACCTACACCAACCCTCACACCAGCATTGAACCATGAAAGTTCTCCGTCTTCCACCTCCTCTTGACATCCTCTTCTTGTGTACAGTCCGTTGTAATCCTCTTCTTCTGGTTTCTGCCGCAAATAATCTGGGCCCTGTACAATTGGCATCTCATATTCAAGCATATGTGCTCTTCCTCTTGTTAAAACATCAATGATCTTTTTCAAAATTTCCCTATATATTTATACTTTTTTGTGGATTGGACGGATTATCGGTCATGGATCTGATTTGCTACCCTAATTAGAGGAGCAGTTTCTGTGTGCGCCTAGCAAAAACACCGAACCGTCCAGATTGGCTTTGCTTATGTGCTTTAGCCAGTAAATTGTATGTGCTGTGGGGATGGAAGAAAATTTCCTAGTTATAGAGAAGCCAAGTAATGAACTGAAAGTGCTCAAGGGGGAAGTAAAGTTAACTCATGATCCAAGGGTTCATGAGAGAGAGAAACGCCCTTTAGCTGTCCTACAAAGCCTAAACGCAATGTAACTACTTCAAAGAAACACCCAAAAAAAAAAAATCAAGTATGGCAAACAATGACCGGTGAATCTATAGACTGAGTTTGTACAAGCACACCCAAAAGTAATCCTCAAATACACAAGCGTGGTGTCTAAATACACCATGGTTTCATCAAGTTCCCTTTTCAACTATCCTAAGTTCTGATGTTCATTGATAGCATTTTTTAATTCTTGTGAATGCAGATCATCATTCAAAAATTTCAAATGATTGAATAACAAAAGCCAAAGCAAGGCAATACAAACCATATCACTCAAGGAAAAACGGCCACTATGTCAACTTGGCTAATGGATCAACAAAGCTAAATATAAGGAACACGTCAACATCATAACAGAAATGAAGTTGAAGAATCAATTAGCATTAGTTACCTGCAAATGCAAAGCGAGACTTGAGGGAACATGTTTCTGGTTTACATCAGCTTCATGCTCCGGAATCGCATCCAACACTCCCTTCCTCATGATTTTTTTCTTAGAACTTAGCATCAGTGTCTTTGTTAATATAATTGGAATCCCCAAGAAGGACCCAGCAATGTAGACCTCAATTGTAGGTGAAGCTGAATCAGGCAACATGAATTGCTTCCCCTTGAAGAAGCTAGCGCCTGGAGTTAAATCTGATTCACAGTTCATGATCCACTTTTTTCCATCCAAACTTGAATCCCTTTCAAGACCCTTGCTATCATTACATAGTTCTAAAACCCCAGAAAGCAGAAGGACATCATTATCAAACACCTCATACTTCACACTACCAGTCGTCCTTAATCTATCAGTGCTCACAAATGTCACTTCTTCTGATTTTCTATCCACTCTGTCTCTTCTGAGAAGCGTTGAAACCCCATCGGAATATATACTAGTTCGTACACCGTTAACTTCAAGAAGAGTATCAGGATTCAAAGGAATGTGGTTCAGTGTAAGAACCTCAGGAGTAGTATCATCAAGTTCACATTTGCAAACTCTTACATAGAATACTCTTATGTCAAGCCAAGGTAATGAGCCCTTCATGGATGGTTGATAAGAGTGTCTAGCAACAATGTGTCCATTATCAGTTGCTCCATTTCCATTAGCCTTGTGATAATCCTCCATCATCCGGCAACGTTAATTCTCCTCCTCGATGAGATTCTTACATTTCAATTCCACTAAAACTTGTGCCAACATCAATCCACGGAAATGATCTTGAATCATAAAACGGGTAGCAATATCAGTGATGTGAAATCTGGCCAGTTCCAAGCAAACATTTATAGATTATTGTCAACAGAAAGGGGAAAGTCTGAAATCCAACGTCAATAGAGATATAGGAAATAATTCTGCCAACTTGAGATCATGGATGCAACTGCTAGTGAAAAAATTAATGATACATCAACAAATTAGAAATTATGCAAAGCTCATAGCTATCCAAAGATAGAGAAGAGGCAAGAACCTCAGCTCAATAAGATAAGATAAACATCAAAAGCTATGGTTTTAGAATCAGGAGGCCAAAACCACAGAAAAAAAAAAGAAGTAAAAAAAGAAATAATTTTCAGAGCCAAAAGAAAAGTGATTAAAGAACCCAAAAAAGAAACGAACAAACAAAAGAGGGAACCCAGTAGAAAAGTCTTCTGGTATCAAAGGCTGAACTTGGAGAAAGTGCTCTCCAGATTTTGACCAATTTTCAAATAAACAGAAAAGTGTACCATACTAAGGTCAATTAACCAATTTCCCAACAAGGTAATTGAAACAATCAAAAGAAAAAAAGAAGGGAATTCGAAGAGCCAGAGAGCAGGATAATCGTCACTGAAGAAAAGGTTAGATTTGCGGTGGAATTGTGAATAGGAAAGATTGAAATACAGACTATGACAAACTTGTCGCAATACACGACAGAGACCCAGCGTCAAAGGAGCGGACAAAACGACGAATCGCGAGAATTCGAAGCCACAAATAATAATTTAACAGCAAAACAAACTCACCAAGAAAAATCTTGGGTTTTGAAGGTGCCAAATGATTCGAATATTGATCTTACAGCTAGTTCCGTTTTTGATTCCTCCAATAGAACAAAAATAATCTTTTGGCTCGTAACCAGAATCGCTGCTACCAGAAGAACCTAATCTAACAGTCACTAACACAAGTCTATGGACTATTCTTCTTTCATTTTGAAATCGTCACTTACATCAAAACATGAGGAAAATCCAAATACTCAAATCTTCAGACAACATGGTATATGGATTCTTCTCTCAGTTTTGCAGTTTGCTGTAATTTTTTGAGGCACAGAGAAGTTGTAGAAGATCCGGATCGATTCTAATTGGGATAGAGGACTCGGTTTGCACCAATATTCTTGAGATCTTATCCACAACAGAGAGAAAATGCACTTTCACAGGGACATCGTATTAAAAGCACGGACACGCTAATTATTTTCTGTCTTTTTTTTTTTTTGGTGGCCAACGCTTATTATTTTCTGTCTGTATGATACTAAGTTGACGCCGAATCGCAATGTATATTAAGTATTAACTAAGATTTTTTTCTCAGCCACGTTAAACCCTCAAAATTTGTTTCCTATTTTTTAAATCATTTTATTCATTTATTTAAAAGAAAATTAAGACCTCCGTCCATTGCACGGGCTTCGCTGGTTACTTGCAAAATCGTCCTTATCCTAATCGCAAATATCTTCTCCTTCCTTGCCTGACTTTGCATGCTTAAATAAATCGGGTGTCTGTCTCTGGCAAAGTTTAATATTTCTCAGCTACTATACTTTTAATATATAACTTCAATTTGTATATCCATAGAGAATCATGCGCTATAAACTATGTAATTGATTTTTCAGTCTCTACAGCAAAGAAATCCACATCTATGAACAATTTTAAGCATGCAAATTCAAAGCTTGCCATATTCATTTCCATCAAAAAACTTTGAGAAAATACTATTTTTTATTCTCATAATTCACTCAAGTTTTGATATAGGTCTATGCTTTTTATTTTTAATGTTTCAAATTTTTACACTTTTTTTCGTTTGCAATATTAGTTTTTAAATTTTTAGAGTGACATTGATGTGATACAAATAGTGTTAATAATAATCATATGTCAATTAAGAATATTAATTTTGTGTTTACATGTCAAACTTATATTAATATGAAAATTTTAATAAGATTTAAAAAAAAAAACTTGCATGGAATTTGCACATTTTGCTTATCATTTAAAAAGCTTAGGTTGGGCTTTTTATTTCATCTTATGTAATTTTTTTTAATTTTTCTTATTAAAAAATTTTATATCAATATCAGTTTGACACATAAGTATAAAATTAACGATATTAATTAATATGTTTCTATTATTAACACTGTTTACACCACGTCAACATCCTTATGAAAATGTAGGGACTAATAATGTTATAGATGAAAGAAAGTTTAGGGACCTGAAATACCAAAAATAAAGTGTAGGAATTTATATCAAAGTTCAAATACAGAGCAAGAACCAAAAGTAGTGTTTTTCTAAAAAGTTTTTATATTCAAATTACTTTTATAGGTGAACTTTCTATTAATTAGGTCTCATTTGATTACTAAAGTGAAATAAATTAAAAAAATAAATATAAAAATAAAATGATCAAAATATGAAGAGGGATGGGTGAACCATATATTCATGAGAGATAAAATAATTTATAACATTAGAAGTCATAATTCATGAGATTTTTTAAAGTTGTGATAATTTTACATTTATAGTGTATAACATTGGAGTTTATCATACTTACAATACGATAAGAGTTATTTAGTTTATTTTTTATTTAAATTTTTTTTAATTCATTCTATTTTCATCCTTCTTGGCAAACCAAACACAATCTTAAAGTTTTTTTTTTCCTTCATGGCCAAAAAATAAATAAATAGTTCTTTAAAATAGTTGTATTGTGTAGAGGCTTAAGACTCATAATGTAAAAAAGAAAGAAAAAAAATCTAGTAATGATATAGAAAGTTTACACCAATTACAGATAAAAAGAAACAAAATCTAGTAATGATATAGAGCCTGTTTGGATACCCATTGAGAATCAATTCTGGAATTAAAATCATGATTTTGTAAAAGTTTATTCAAACACCCTCATTTTATAAAACTTCATTTGGTTTGGTAAACTCCATTTTAGAGAAGCTGAAATTTCTTTCATTTGCAAAACTCCATTTGGCTTCTTTTCTCTATATCATTTATTTGCACATTCAAAATTAATTTTCAAAAAATCATCCAAACATATTCAATTTATCAAAATTAATTTCTAAAAATTTATCCAAACATCATCATGTTCTAATAATCAATTTTTTCTATAATTAATTTTTTCTAATTGAAATCCAAACACACCCATAAAAAGTTTACACCAATTACAGATAAAAAGAAACAACTTTGCATGTCGACTTTCTACTAATCAATTTAAGTTGAGGAAAAAAATTGCAATTTATTTTCAGGCTGGAAAATATTGAAATTTATTTGAGTAATGCAATATTATTAATTAATTAGTGATAAATTTAATTAAATTAAAACATCAGAAATTGAGGATAACTCAATTAAGATGATTTAGTTCACAAGTGAACTGAATTGTGATGCTTATCCTTTTAAAACATGCAAGGTCGATGTTTTACATTATACATTATCAGTTTAGCATGAAAAACTGGAGATCATGAGCTAAGCTAAAGCAGCATGCGTAAGAATGTTAAGAAATTAAAGAGGAAATGACACGTGGTAGGCTGTCGGGACGGGAAGGGACGGTGGAGTAGATAGATAGGAATGCCATTTTTAACATCGACAAGTTTATTGATAAATTTAGGAAAGCCCTTCCTAGTATTCTTTCTGATGTTATTTATAAATAATTTTTATTAATTTTATTAATATTAATATAATAAAAATATAATGAATAAAAGTAAGTTAAATTTTAAATATAACTTTAAAATAAAAAATAAATAAATAAATAATATAATATAATATTAATTTTTTATTTTTTCTCTTATTTTTCAAATGTAGTTTAAATATTTTAATTTAAAATAAAATAATTATATCAATTAATAACTTATAAAATAAATTAGATTATACCTTTAGAAGGTGCTTAATGCAGGGCACCGGAGGGAGCACCAGACTACTAGTCAATTAAAAATAGTGGCCACATTAAAGAATTTGAAATACACGTGCCCCAACATGCCGGCCTATCACGTGCAAACTCATATGGCACAAGATAATGTCAATATAGTCAATGCATCCATTAGTTCTTCATACTTGTGGAGTTAGTGCAAAATATACAAGTTGACAAAGAACATACGGTTGAACTCATCTTCATCCTCCTCCAGTCATGAAAAAAAGGAGAAATTATCATAATGGCTACTAGAAGTGAGAGATGGCAAGGTTGGAGAATCAAGTGATGGCATTATAGATATTGAAATTCCATTAGAGTTATTGATTACTTCATATAAGGATCCTTTGGCTATCATTATCTCATCTACATATCCAGACTTATGGGATAATATATACAACACTGACATACTTTAATGACATGGCTATCCTTGCATCAACTATTGAGTGTGTTTACTCAATAAATAATTTCATGTGTGGAATCTTACCTAGGGAACTAGTAGAATATCTTAATTGTGACTCTATTTGCAAATCATCACAAGACAATGACTCATTTGGGATCTTTATACAATTTAGTTTCTTAACACGATTAAATAGTTATGGTTTACCTTCACATAAGCTTACACAAAAAATTGTTGCACTTGTAATGCTTTTTAGGTATGTTGACCAAGCTTCAAGATTATGTAATAGTACAAGATTGCAGATCACATAGCTTGGCAAATGTGTAATTAAAGCAGTGACACTAAATGGTTCTTATTCGAATCAAAAGGTTCTTATGCACAAAGTGATATAAATCCTTCAAACAGTATATGGCCCTTCCGCATGCAAAGAAGATAATTTCTAATCATTCTTTCTTTTGCAATGACAATAAACAAAAGTCAAGGCCAGTCACTATACAACATTGGTCTTTATCTTCCAAAACTAGTTTTCACACATGGCCAACTCTATGTTGCAATTTCTAGAGTTAGAAGCATAGATAGGTTGAGAATACTAATTCATGACATTGATAAACAACCCAAAGTGACCGCTTCTAATATGGTCTTCCATGAGATCTTCTAAAAGCTCTAAGCTATAAATGCATGATTTTTTATTGTGAGATTTGTTTTTCAATTGCCTATGTAGTGACGAATGACATTCTTATTAAATATTTTTTGCTAGATACAATAATTTTTATCAAGCAATGCTTCATTTCCTTACTGACCAAGTGCTACATATTATAGTTATAATTATCTGAACTATACTATTATTACTTAAATTTGTGTCTTTTAAATTGACCAACCCGTGCAACATACATGATTGTGGCTAGTTGTAGAAAATAGTGAATGAAAGTGTTGTCACTTGAAAGAGAGAGAAGAGAACTTCAAAGAGAAAATGTAATTAGAAGCAAGTCAACCACCTATTCTCATCCAAATAAAGAATTTCAACTATATCAGTCTATAATAGTTGAATTATGAAATGTACAAAAACTCTTCCTAACTTCTAAATTTTGAGAACATGAAACCTCACAATTAAATTAGGGAAAACAACCATCATTTTTGTAATTATGCGGCCCAGTTGCATAATGATGTGGCATTCATCTTGACCCTTAAAAATAATGATTGTTTTCTCCAACTTAACAGTAGAGTTTCAGGCACTTGAAATTTAAAAATTGAGGAGATTTTTGCATATTTTAAGAGTTTAAAGTCAAGGATGATATTCGAGTAATAGTTTAAGATCTAAAATGCTTATTAATCCTTTATTTTAAAGG